ATTCACACATGGCCATGCGGCCGACTCCGCCCATTCTCTAAAGGGTTTGGCACTCTAGGCTGACCACGCCCACTGGCTTTTCGCGGAATTTCGATGTTTTTTCAAAATTTTTGCAATTTAGGGTTGCTGCGTGAAGCCCCGCCCTTTGTGAGATGCTCCGCCCACTTTGAATAAGCCCCGCCCACTTTAAAAAAATGGTGCAGATCGGCAGTATAGAGACTTGGCTTGCATGTTAGTGTATTGCTGATCATTCGGAATAAACTTTGCCGGATTTTCTTGTTCCGAGTGACGTACGAGACCCTAACATGCAAGCCAAGTCTCTACACTGCCGATCTACACCATTTTTGAAAAGTGGGCGGGGCGGCCTGTTCAAAGTGGGCGGAGGCATCTCACAAAGGGCGGGGCTTCACGCAGCAACCCTAAATTGCAAAAATTTTGAAACATCGAAATTCCGCGAAAAGCCGGTGGGCGTGGTCAGCCTAGAGTGCCAAACCCTTTAGAGAATGGGCGGAGTCGGCCATGTGTGAATGCACGGTGGTTTCCAGTCGAGGGTGAATTCCAGTTTGTGGGAAACAGCAAAAGCAGAAGTTATGAAACAAGATTTGAGAATCTATTTTCCGCGCTGCAACGTGGGCGTGGCCGTCGGGGCGGGGCTCGCAGTGATGTCTGGCGTGATCTGGTTGATGAATTGCCCGCCCTAATAAGTGTGGTTCTTGATGAAGAGTGAGGGTGAATTTGGTTTGAAAAAGGACGAATTTGGTTTGAAAAAGGACGAATTTGGTTTGAAAAAGGACGAATTTGGTTTTGAAAAGACGAATTTGGGTTTGAAAGGGCGAATTTAAAGTGTAAAACATGGTATTACCCATCGAAGTTTTTCTCATTAGTCCGACCTCCCCTTCCTTCCCACCACCACCTAACATCATGACTCTGCCTAAGCCATGTTTTCCAGAGTGGTTTTTTTCAAAGCTTCCGCCAATCAGATATATGTAGCGCCTTTGGAAAAGGAAAAACCGTGGAAGATCAACAACCGAAAGCTTCTCGAGGACAAATGCGATTCCTCCCTCTTGGGATCCCCAAATTATCTGGTGCCTTTACTAAACGGCAGAAATCCATTTTTCCTCAAAATTCCTTCGTCCTTTCACGATGAACTGAAACGACGAAATACAGCTTCTTGTCAAGGACTCATCAAGAATTTATTGCTCGTGACTGACGTGTTTCCCCTCTAGCGCATACTATTAGGAACCTCCACATTACTTCAACAATATAGCTGAAACTTGAGGTGCGTTTAGAGTGGAGCGAGACCGTAATCTTCCGCGTAAGACCGCTGCAACTGAAACACCTCAAGTCGTCCAGAGTAGCGCTGGAGCGCGATCCGTTACAATCGCACGATTTAATCGCTCGAAGTTCGTGAAGTGGATGAGTAGGCGGCAGACTTAGAGTCACAGTATCACAAAAGAATTCGCAAAACTACGGCGATCAGGAATAATCATACACAGAATCAAACATATATTTGCAGGTGGCTAAAGTTTTAATTGCTGTTTCAAAATTGGGGTTACTACTACCTTAACTGTTGTTTCAGCATTGGGATACTACTACTTCTGAATGAAACTCTCTCTAGCATAATTTGCTATACAAATCCGAATTATCAACAGAAAAAATAAGAATGGGTGGGAGTCTAAAAGGGTATTTTTGAGCAATAAAATGCTCTTCAGATGAAAGTTATATGTGGCAACAATTTATTGTTCTCAAATCTGCATAAATAAGAATTAAAAACAATTATAGAATTAATTCAGCGTAACACAAGTACAGTTTATTACCCAACAGAACGAGAAAACCGTTGAAGTGGAAGCTAGAATGAAATCGCCTTCAATGATAATGCACCATGACGAATAAAACAAGGTACGAGGTAAAAGTATGTGGCCATGGTTTTAATCCATTCTTCCTTTCAACGTACTGATGTTCACCTGGAAACAATAGAGATATTATTTCGGTCAAAACACATGTATTCACTTGAAACCCCGTCGAATGTGAAAGTTATGACTGGTGACATTTAACCCTTTTGGCCTGCTAGGAGCTAGTCTCTAGAGACCAGTAGAGTCAGTGTATCCTGACTATCTGAGCTGCCGTTTCGAAAATTTGGCTCCCATATACCAAACCGCAGCGATAGTATTTGAATTACTCGTTTTATGCCTAGTTATTGCGATGGGTGTATTGTGAAGTTGAGGCCTTAAAGCTAGCTGAATGTTCGAGGTTCTGTTTTCGAAATTACAGTATCAATAGTTTGACCTGTACTGAGTCCTAGCAAACGTGGCACTAAGTCTGATACTCACTCCTCTTGTAGACAGTAATAACCTTTTCAAACACTCGCGCAAATATAGAGGTAAGACTGACCGGTCTATAATTGTCCGGGCTAGAGAAAGGCGCTTTTTTGGGAATGGGCAGAACAATGGAGTGTTTCCATAAACACGGAACTTGTCCACGCATCAGACTCAAATTGAAAAGAAATTCAAGAGGCCCACAGATTTCGAAAATGCAATTTTTAACAACAATAAAAGGTATATTTTCACAATTTACACTAGAGGCGGATGACCATTTATTCAGAATGTCCACGATCGAGTCTTTATAAAACCATGGAGCAGAGGGATTAACATTAACTCCCGGAAGCTGAACACCTTGAGCGGAATGAGGCCGTGTAACAAAGTACTTTTCACATTTCCCTTTCTATTTCCCTTAATTTCTGGGCCGAATTGCTTTGCGTGGGTGCTAGAATGAAAGGAGTGCCGCAAAGCTGGGATATATCAAAGTTGAACTCCTACATCGAAAATCAGTTTAGCTTAGAAGAGTCCCATTTGGTCATCCAAAGTGCCCTACTCAAGGTGAAAACGGTATACATGAAGCCAACTGGAGATGTTCTGAGAATACAAAAAAAACATTCAGCCCTGCAAGTCTCAACAAACTAACACCTTTTGTTATCACTGCACTGACCAGGGAAAGTCAACAGCAGGTCAGTCCGAATATTTGCAATGAGGTGCAAACCGTTGTACATCCCTTAGCACTTTGAACTCAAATCTAGCTTTGGAATTTGCAGAACGATTCTCTGACAGGAGTTATAGAGGGTTCCCCCCCCCCTCTCTCCTTTCCCTCGAAGGCGCGCTATCCCTCAATGCCGGGGCCTGTAGCGCGCGGCATAACCTTTTTCGCGCAAAAGGATGTGATATTCGTGTTCACGAAGTGAAATAACCTCAAGGGACGGCACTCTAGCGAGATCTGAAATTTTTACTTAACGACTGACATTTACATTAGGTCTATCCTATCAACGAGGACTGGTATCCGTGCTGAATTAACTCGTTGTCCATGCATTTTCACAAAAAACAGTATCTGGCTCACGTGCTGGCACATTCACCACTTTCCTGATGAAAAAAAAGGGGAGGGGGTGCGCGCAAATTTTGCCCTAATAAGAGCAGTCATCGGTAATATATGAGCTACAGTCTGTTTACACATAACTCATAGAATACCTCACTTTGCCAAAAACTTAGATTTGGCTAGAAACGTGTGAAACGTGTGTACAGGGTGTTAACTGACCCGCTGTATATGAATATCACACTAGCTAAGTGCAAAAACCCATGTGGCACGTGTTACAAAGGGGACAAGCACAAGCACCCTTTGAGTCCACGAGGATCCTACACTACACTGTTAAAAAGCTGATAACAGGTCCTCCTACAGACGAGCACGGGCGAGCAGGGATGATCAAAGCTTTGTGGCTATGTTTATGGAAAATGCAAAAAACCCCGAACGCGCGTGGACTGATCCCATAATCTCTCGCTTATCACACCCGATCACTACCAGTTGCGCTCCAGTGCCACGTTTCCTTATCTCCTCCTCATTTATTTGAAGACGCTTCCACAATCCCATGAGATAAACTGTGATACCACAAGGCGGGGAGAAAACCCTCCGTAACTCTGTTTCGAGAGTCGCTCAGCAAATTTCAAAGAAAATTTTGAGCTCAGAACGTGCCCAAGCGTGTGTATCGGGGATACGCGACTTGCATTTTCAAATTCGAAATTGACGTTTAATGGCGACGTAGGGCAATGTTGGTCAAATTCACATTCATCGGCTCAGCGCAGTCAAAGTCACATCATGATCACGACGCCGAACAACACCCTACGCATGATTTTCGCTAGTTTTATAAAAAAAAATAGAAGTATGGTGCTGTCCCGGAGTCTCATTTCTTATCTGAGAGTGTAACAACAATGTGAAACTCCAAAAGTTTATTATTATCATTATTATTATTAGTGAGCATCATTGTAGGGAAAAGACGCTATCGTTGAAGATTCAAAATGAGTTTTGAAGAACAGTCTACTGAACTCGGCTAGCGAGGATTCTTATACATTATAATAAACTTTTGGAGTTTCACATTGTTGTTACACCCTCAGATAAAAAAAATAGAATGACATCTAGCGATGAAAGGCATCAACATACTCAGAGAACTGCACCACCCGTGTAAATGAAGTTCACCCAAAAAAAGTCGAGGATTCGAAGTGGCAACACTCAAGGAAGGTCTAAAGAGAACCATTTCTGTTCATTGTTATGCCCACGCTCGCAATTTAGATACCCTTATGAATAGATTGTTGTGGTGTTGACATAATGAAGAAAGACAACGGTGATGGCGTTATTGTAATGCAAAGAAGCAAGTGAAATTGTGACTGATTGGATGACTGCCAGGCTTCACTCACCTCGGCACGGGCTATTTATTCATATGGTATATAGACTATGTGAATATTACAAAATATAAACAAGTGCAAGTTGCTGATTTATGGGAGTGGGAGGTGGACTACATGTGGAGGTGGGTCGCATTTGTCACCATTTTTTCTCGCTCTTACCATGTTCACGGCCGCGTCACGGATCTTGACCCTGAGTGCTAGATTCTTAAGAATCTAGCTCGACTATCGGATTCTACGCTATGTAAGGGGATCCGGGAGCTACGAACGCTGCTTCACATTTCAAAACGCAAATTGAATTTGAAAGCGCTTGAAAGGTGTATGCACCTGAAAAAAGGAAAGTATTCTTCAAAGAAAAAGCTCTAGTTCTACAGAGCTTCAAGCTTCATACTATGCGATACTGGCAAATACGATATTATGTCAACAGGAGAACGTGCGGAAAGTGAAACATCGGTGTCGATTGAGTGAACTGACAAAAAAAGAATAGGGAAATAAGAGAGTTTCAGGAGACCAAATAGAGGGTATAAGGGCCTGGTTGTTCCAAGAAATAGCCGATCGGCGATTTAACCACAGGATGGCAAACTTTAAGGTGACGTCGTCATAATACCACCTTCAGCGCTTCCCCAAAACAGTAAAAAGCAAAACAGAAACAACATGTAAGAAAAAGAAAGCCAGCACACCTTATCTTTAGTGACTGTATAAATGACAACTCCCCATCCTGAAGCAGCATCTCTCTCTAAGCAGGCAAGCATCGATTGCGCAGTAGCCTCAAACAACTCTTCGGGGCTCATGTTCTCCTTCCAGAATGCTAAAATAAACAGAACATAAGGGCCGAGTTATAGTCAGTTTCAGACCAGAGCAGTGTGATGCAAGATGTTAGATGTTAGAAGATGATTCACAAATAATTACATGAGAAAGTAAGGGAGCTGGATGAAGTTCGCAAAACTTACTTTCGCACACCCCAAGTAAGTACTCTTGACCCGTGCCAACAGCAACAAAATCATTTGGAGCAGCAATGCAACCAATTGTATCCATTCCGCAAATGTATGGCTTATTAGTATCTGGATCAAGGCCAGCAACTAACGGCTCTGTGAAAAACGAGCCAAACCGATGTTGATAAGCAAGATTAGAAATCATCGTCGCGAGCACCTGATATAATACTTTCAAAGTTGCAAAACAGAAAGCACAATAACGCAAAGAAGCTACAAGGCAGGAAATTCATAAAAAACACTAACTGCTGGAATGTTAAGTTATTTCTGCCAAACGAGGTTGTTAGATGAAACCTTTTATTGGCCCGACGTTTCGACCTTCTCGTCTTCTTCAGAGGCCTGAGAATGGGTCGCCGTGTCTCCGAACGCCCCCGAAGAACCCGGTAATAACTGCGCACTAACTCACCGAGGTTCCACCGTGCGGAGCCTAGCTCACGCTATGTGTCAGTAGTGTAAGGACGAATGAGTCTCACTAGAGTCCCATCGTGTCACAAGTAAAAATTGTCATTGTGCACGTTGCACTGTGTGATTACCGAGTTCTTCGGGGGCGTCTGGGACATGATGTCGGAAACGCTAGAGTGGGGAAGGCGCTTGATCAGGTAGGTGACAAATTAAAGCTAATCGACCCCATTTTTCTTGACCTCCTGAAGAGAAGACGGAGAAGGTTGTAAACGTTGGGCCAATACAAAGGTTTCATCTAACGACCTCGTTTGGCAGAAATAACTTAACATTCGACATCATGCCGAGGTTAAAAGAAGGGACAACTTGGAGATTATTAGAAGACTAACTGCTGGCTTAATTTTGCGGTTTTCCCGAAGCTCATATAATGTCTTCCGAAAGGTGACTTTTTCCAAAACAGTGACTGCATCCGAATTGAACCCAGCGAGTCCTAGATACACCTTGTCTGCAATTTTGTGGACCTGAAACCATTTGAATTCGAATCACAATTAACAACAGATCAACTCCCCGCAGATTATTTGCTTGCCTGCACTTTGAACCTTTATTTGTGTAGAAAAAGTCTAGGAATAAAACTTGCACTGTGAATAAAATGGATATATCAGCATGACAATGAGGCACCACCTTTTTCTGATCAACAGCTATCGTTGTCATCTGTTCTCCCAGTCTGAGATCAGAAGCAATGCAGACACATCTTAAAGTGAAGTTTTTTTTTAATGTCGAGTGATACTCTTTCAGGCCTACCCAGAGGTCAGCACAACAGAATGCAGAGTGGGAGGTTAAGAGCTTATCGCTGGGAAACGAAGCAGTTAAACTGTTCCAGTCAAGCATGGACTGTTACAACGATTGAAAATTACGCTACCAGTCATTTTTGGCGTCCTTCGCAATCGCTTAGAGTAAGTCTACCACTCCTGAGCCTTAGGAGCGATCCTTTTGAGAGAGTTTTCCCCCTAATATTACGACCAAGCATTTCTGTGCCCTAAAAATACAGGTTCATTGTACGAGACTGAAAAGGCTGCGTTCAAATACGGCGTACCAGCGTTTTGCGCGACGAGGAAAGTATCAGTCTGTTTTGAACGACTTTCGGCGACTGCCCGTGAAGATCTTGGACTGCCCGCAAAACGCTCAAAACGCTATGTCCACTTCATATTCCAGTCGCTCAAAACGCTACCGTACCATTAAAACGCTGACCTAAAGCCTGAACGAACCCTAATGATGATGTAGCACGATGGTTTCATACATTTCTTGTCGATGATAGCGATCACACAATGTTGTATGGTAATGGGAGATAGGTGTCATGTCATTGATGTCACATACCATGTTGATAAAACTCCTGATTACGTCTTAAGGGTAGTTGAAACACCTTGCCCTAATTACTAACAGGAAGGCGGACCTCTACTGCAACTCCGCAGCACTCCTCTACTCTTTACCGCAATCCCCCCACCTTGAATTCAGGCAACATAGTTCCACAATATGTATGTCTCCTAGAGCTGGACAAAGCTTCGTCCCCGGGAATAGCCCGAACCTCTGAACTTAAGCATTACACCCATTCAAAGAGAAAGTGCGCGACGTCAGCGCAGCGGGCGCGAGCCCGCAGGAGGGATGTACAGGAGCCAACGTCTGCACTTGGCGCCCCCCCCCCCTCTAATCCTGAATGATATTTGTGTTCGGGGAAGGAGGCAAAATACTTTTGGGTACAATTCTCAGAAATTTGATGTTTTAGTGCGAACATCGGGCAGGAAAGGATTTACAGTGGCCGAAAACTGAATTCTCAGTATACTACGTTCTGTCATGCCGACCAAAGAGTAAAGCGAATACGAAAAAAAGACAGGCGAAAAAAAAGACGAAAGGATGACTTACTCGTTCCCCGCCATGGCGAGGACAGTTCCTCCGTTATAACTCATAATACTCATGATGACTACTTGCGATTAAGTCGATTTTTACCTACCTGAACTAAATTCTAAACTTTATACCAAAGTAAAGATGCTGGACGATATCATGTGCTGTCACACCATAAGTTACTAGCGCTCGCTTTCCACTGAATCTTTCACGGCGAATTGTTCTCATAAAGCATAAGGCAAATGAATTCCTTGTTCAAGCGTGAAAAACAAGAACACAAAACTCAAACGTTAAAATTAACAAACAATTGTAAATTCGTGAACGCAAATGATGACAATTTAAGCGTAAATGTGCAAATCGCATGGCCGTGATACAACCACACACCCTCTATGTTACGGCTATAAAAGTAAAAGAACAATATGAAAATATATGAACACATCTATGCAGAAGGACTGTCTAAATGAATAGTTCTTGGCTATAAAAAGATTCTCACTGCACATGAAAGGAAGTTTCATAGATATAAC